AAAAAAAAAAAAAAAAAAAAAAAACACAATAATAATATTTGGATGAAGTAAATTTAGTAGAATATATTTGGGTAAGAAGATTTACTAGAATTATAATATAATTTTTGTAATGTAAAATCATTGTTATTTTGAAAATATATGATAGTTATAAACAAAATTTTATGATCCAGATCGACCCGACTGGTCGACTAACAACCCGACAGAACTGGAGTCGCATCTGATCCACTTGTGTCTTTCGGACAGGTTAACAAACAACCCAAACACGATCTCGGTCGATTAAGCCTTGACCCGACCAATTGGACATTAATTCGGTTTGATCCATATATTTTTTAGTTATTTTTATATTGGTCCCAAAATAAATTTATGTGCATACATGTGACAAAACATTTATAATGAGACATAGTATTATTAAAATGTTTACATATGAAATATTTTTAAAATATTTACATATGTATTAGTTATGTAAAATGTATTCTTGTAGATTAGGTTTAGGCTCAACTTAGCTAAGGGCCATCTATGTATCTATATATATGTGTATATGTCTTTATGAATAATATAACATATATTTTTCTCACATTTTCACATGGTATCAGACTAGGATTAGGGTCCAAAATAGGCTTGTTCTTTTATCGTTCGTCTCCGGCCAACATTGATTCTCACCACCCCCACCACCGTCTCCGGCTTCTCACGACAAGTCGACGTTTCAAATTTCAGGTCAAACGGCAGCGCGTGTCAGTCTCACGAGCCACCGCTTCGTTGCTGCACTGCGGCCTTCTGCCGGCACGTGTGGTCAACCTTTTGCTCCGAGCGCCACAGCGTTTTCAGTCGTCGACTCGTCTCATCGTTGGCTATGTCCAGGTGCAATCGAGATTGGTTTTCGTGGAGTTTTTAATTTCGGTCTGTTTTCATATTTTGACGGTTTCGTGACTCGATTTGTGCCTATATTTTCAATTGTTTCTTGTTATTGTGTTAATCGGATTTTTGGATATGGATTGTATGGATGTGCATTCTTCAATTAGTGTTGTCTTATCAGGGAATAATTACAGTATTTGGGCACAGTCTATGAAGAGTTTTTTAATTGGGAGAAAATTATGGCGGATTCTGACTGGTGATGTTTTGTCACCTCTGCATCCGTCTCTTTCAGGATACCCCAATCCCACACCACAGGCTCTTACAACATATGTCGATAACTTGGAAGACTGGGATAGTAAGAACCTCAGATTCTTACTTGGTTACGTAATACTTCAGTCCCTGCTATTCAGGTGCAGCTTGCCTCGTTTGACAGTGCCAATGAGGCTTGGAATTTTTTGGCTGCTCGATTTCTTACTACTGGTTTGGCTCATTATTATCTGCTTTGGAGCACCTTGCATTCCACCAAGCAGCAATCGGGTCAATCCGTCAATGAGTTTCTTGCACAAGTTCAACATATCCGGTATTGTCTCCGACAAACTGACTTTAGTTCGGTTCACCTTGATCTTATCCAGATTTTGATGGCTCTTCGTTCTGAGTATGAGGTTGTTCCTGCTTCACTTTTACATCGTCATTCACTGCCTACTCTTGATGATTCTATTCAAGAGATCACTTTTGAGGAGACTCGTCTTCAGTTGGCTAGGACACCACAGCTTGAGTCTGCATTAGTTGTGCCTACTTCTGCTTCTGCTCCATCATCTCAGCCTCAACCACCAGTCTCGGTTTATTGTAGGATTTGCAAGAGCTCTAGTCACCCTTTTGCCATTTTTTCTAAAGTGGAGGGCCACATCTGTCATGTTAGGGGGCATATTGCTACAAATTTTCCTGCCAAGAGGTTCATCTTCACGGTATCGAGGGTCTCGTGTGTCTTCTTCATCGACCACTTCTACAACAGTTGTCACTAATGAGCCTCAACACTGTCTTACACTCTTCAAGACATAGAAGCTATTATCAAACAGGTTACCCATTCCAATTCTGTTATGTCTTATACCGCAGAACACTCATTGGTATTTTGATTCTGGTTGTTGCAATCATATTACCTTTAGTCCACAATTTTTGTCTTTCTCGTCTTCTGTATCTTCTTTACCCCCTATACATGTTGCCAATGGTACTCATATGACTGTTACTCACACTGATCTCGTTTCTTCCCCCTCTTTGTCTCTTTCCGACACATAATGCATTACTTATTTGGCCTTGAATTTTATTTTTGTTGGCCAATTGGTTGAACAAGGTCTTAATGTTACATTTTTATCTTCTGGTGTTCAGGTTCAAGACTCACAGATGGGTCGGCTTCTCGAGATGGGTTGCAAGACGGGCCGTTTATTTGAGCTTGAGTCTCTTCATGCCCCTCGCTCTTGTTCATTTTCTGCTGCTATTACAAATAATCAGTCCACCTTCCAGTGGCATCTTCGTCTTGGGCATGCGTCTTCCACTAAAGTTTGTTCTTTATATAAAAAAGGGTCTTTTAGGTTCAGGTAGTTTTGAGTCTTTCAGTTGTCTTCATTGTAAACTTGGAAAAAACTCGGCTCTTTCTTTTTCTGAAAAATTTTCAACTGCTGATAAACCTTTCGGTTTGGTCCATTTTGATATTTGGGGTCCTTCTCATGTTGCTTCTATGAATGGTTTTTAGTACTTTGTTATTTATGTTGATAATTTTTCTCGTTTTATCTGGATTTATTTTCTCAAAAATCCTTCTGAGCTGCCCACCATATATATTTAATTTGCTAGAATGATTCACACACAGTTTTCTTGTCCTATAAAGGTCTTGCATACGGATAATGCCCTTGAGTACAATGATTCTACCTTTTTAAAATTTCTTTTTGACCAGGGCACAATCGTTCAGCTGTCATGTCCTTATACTTCCCAACAAAATGGATGAGTTGAACATAAACATCGTCACATTCATGATACTGTTCGTGCTCTTCTCCTTTCTGCTAAATGTCCTTTTTTTTGGGGTGGAGCAGCCTTGATTGTTGTTTCTGCTATCAACCGATTACCCTCATTTGTTCTTCGAGATATTAGTGCTTTCTTTGTTCTTCTTCCATCTCATGAGCGAAACAAATTAGAACCCCGAGCTCGTTTGTGTTTTTTTTGGGTTATGGGGTAGAACACAAAGGGTTTAGGTGTTGGGATCTATTGCTAATCGGTTGTGTATTTCTCGTTATGTTACCTTTTGGAAGCATACTACGTTTTCTTCATTGTCTAAATTTCACATTCCTTTTGATTTCTCGTCTCTCTTCTTTATGCCCATTACTTCGGATATCTTTCCAGATACTTGTCCCGACTCGCAGCTCATTGAAATTCATGTCACGCCTCTGTCTTCTGAAGTTGTTCCACATGCGCATCTTGAACCGACGCTTCATGTTGAGTCCACTCCTGATCCAGTTCCTTCCTCTACTTTTGATCACCGATGGTAGACTCGTGTAAGTCGTCCACCTTCTCACCTACTTGACTATCATTGTTATTCTGTCATTCTATCTTATCATGAGCTTAGGACTTTTTGTGAGGCGAATGCTGATCCATTGTTGCAAAAAGCTATGACTGAGGAATTACATGCCTTGGAAAAGGCTCATACTTGGGATTTGGTGGATTTACCTGTTGGCAAGATTCCCATCAGATGCAAATGGGTATAAGATCAAGACAAATTCAGATGGATCTATCGAGCGCTGCAAAGCTTGTTTGGTTGCTAAGGGTTACTCACAAGAGTATGACATAAATTATGAAGATACCTTTGCACCGGCTGCTTGTCTTACTAATGTCCGGTGTTTACTTGCAGTTGCTGCTGTTCGTCAATGGACTCTTCTACAGTTAGATGTCAAGAATTCTTTCTTGCACGGTGCCTTATCTGAGGAGGTTTACATGACTCCTCATTCGGGATCATTGTCATCTGAGAAGGTTTGTCGTCTACGTTGAGCTTTGTATGGCTTGAAGCAAGCGCCTCGTGCCTGGTATGCCATATGTACAGTTCTGCATTGTTTCTGTTTGGTTCCACTACGAGTGATCATGATTCTGCTTTGTTTCTTCGACGCTCCTCATCTGGGATCATTATTTTGCTACTCTATGTTGACGATATGATCATCACGGGGGATGATGTTACCGGTATTTCTGATTTACAGGACTATCTTCGTCAGTGTTTTGAGATGAAGAGTTTGGGCCAGCTTCACTATTTTTGGGTCTTGAGATCTCTGATTCTTCTGATGGCTTCTATTTGTCTCAAGCCAAGTATTCCTCTGATATTCTTGCTCGAGTCGGTCTCACTGGTTGTCAGACAACTTCTACACATCTTGATCATGATTTTTGCCTTACTCCACTTGATGGCTCTCTTTTTGAGAATCCTACATTACATCGTCAGCTTGTTGGGAGTTTAATATACTTGACTATCACTCGGCCTGATATAGCTCATGTGGTTCATATTGTGAGTCAGTTTATGGTTGCTCCAAGGACCACACATCATTCTTTTGTGTTGCACATCCTTCGCTATGTGATGGGCACGCTATTACGTGGTTTACACTTCTCGGTCCGTTCTTCCTTGACACTTAGCATTATTCTGATGCAGATTGGGCTGGCGATCCTACTGATCGTCGTTCTATTACTGGGTACTGCTTCTTTTTGGAGATTCACTCATCTCTTGGCGAAGTAAGAAGCAAACATTAGTTTTCCAGATAAGTGTCTGAGTCTGAGTATCATGCTCTTGCTGATTCCACCTCATAGTTATTATGGTTGCGTCGACTACTTATTGATCTTGGTGCACCTCAGTCGTCGTCTATTGCTTTACATTGTGATAGTCATAGTGCTATAAAGAGTGTCTCATAATGATACCTTTCATGAGAGCACTAAGCATATTGAGATTGACTGTCACTTCATTCGACAGCATATTGCACATGAGACTGTGAAGCTTGTTTTCGTCTCCTGTATAGATCAACCAACAGATGTCTTCACGAAGTCTTTCCTTCTCGGTAGCTTTTGTTTACTTCTTAGCAAACTCAAGTTGTCTCCACTAGACGCCTTGAGTTTGAGGGGGTGTTAGTTATGTAAAATGTTTTCTTGTAGATTAGGTTTAGGCCCAACTTAGGCTAAGACCCATCTATATATCTATGTATATGTTTATATGTCTTTGTGAATAATATAACATATATTTTTCCTACATTCTCACAATATGACATATTTTTTTGTCATTTTTATATACATTTTTAAGACAAAAAGTATATTAAAAAAAATAAGTATATAATTCAACAGTTGGTCAGAAATATGAAAATAGATTATGAAATTTTGTATAAAATTACGATATTAATACAATTATATTAATATAGTTGGAAAGAGAAAAGAAAGTCAAAAAAATAAAATGGATGAATGGTGTACTTTCTACTAAGAAATTAAAACTAAATGTCATTTATACACAATTAATTAGGTGGAGTGAGAATGAAAAATCCACATTCTTTGGTGTATGTTTTGGTCCTCGAGGGGTTAAAAACCAATGGTCACTTCTCTACAATGAGACAATCGAGGGTCCATATGTTCTTTCACTTTCTTTTATTAATGAGTTAGGTTTACTTTTATTTTATGTTATTATGCACCTATTTCAGATTATGTTTTTTTTTTTTTTTTCCTCGAGAAAATTGTGA